ATTAGGTCAGTGATGCATAAATTGGCTTTTACTATTATCTAGCTAAACCTATTTCCTAGCTATAAACAGAAAAAAAAATGATATCATTCAGCTCCAAACTTCCCCCTTTGCTTTTTCTAATTTCTATTGAGGACCTAATTCCATATGAGAGTAAGCTTCGAATCATCTCAGTCATTCTATGCTTTATTAGCAACAAAGAATTCTAATTTTGAGTTCTTTGGGGCTGAAACAGAAGGCCTTGATACTTTTAAGAACAAATTTCCAGCATCACGAACACCATCCAAACATATAAAAAGTAAAGTTCGAATCTTTGAAAAGAAAATCTGGATCGTAAGTCCACAAAACAATTAACCCAACAACAGAGAAAAGAATCGAAAACACATACCAGCCTTGCAAGAACGAGAAACAGCCAGTATCATGCTGATCTTGATAGTGATACTGCTCATGGTAGTGTTGATACCGAGGATGACCTGGAGGAGGAGGAGGAGGAGGCGGCGGTGGCGGATACCCTTCTGCAAAATAACCTTGGTACCCCTCGTAAGGCGGACGTGGAGGTGGAGGATACGCGGGATACCCAGGTGGCGGAGGCGGAGGGTACCCCTCGTATGGAGGCGGCGGCGGTGGTGGCGGCGGCGCTGATGGGTAACCGGGTGGAGGTGGATAAGGAGGCGCGTACCCTGTTAATAAAAACGAAATCAACGGATCAGTATTTTGATTGATTGAAATTACAAAATGAAGGAATTGGGAAAATGATGATGATGATTGTTTTGTTTATTACCTGGAGGATATGGGTAGGGCTCTTGGGGAGCTCTCTGGTAACTCATCTTCTTCGATTTCCTTCCTTCCTCAGCACTGAGAAAGAGGGGAATAAAATGAAACTAGGTCGTGATGTTTTTTAGGTACGGAGGAAGAAGAGGGAGCAACCTCACCTGCCTTCTTGGTGGGGTTCTGATGCCCAACCTGTCTCCAATAACTTAATGCCACAGCAGCATGGTATCCATTTTTTAACTTTTTGTTGATCATTAAAATTTCAAAAAAAAAATAACAAATTTAAATACTTTTAATAAATTATTTTTAAAAAAATATTTATTAAAATATTTAAATAATTTAATAAAAATTTTAATGTTTAAAATGAAAACTTTATTTTATAATTAAATTATAACAAACTGTCAAATTAAAATTATTAAAGAAGAAGAGCCCTTGCATTTGCTCTTTCAATCTAATGGTCTCAAATCACTTATAAAGTGTATCTTTTTCACTTGGACAACGATTTAAATTTACTTCTTTGTAAATTTATTAAAAAAATAAACAGTTACTCAAAGAAAAAAAAATGTACTTTAGGGGCTGACCTAAGGTCACTGAACCAAAGGTCAAAGTGCCCATCCTTTTTTTATTTAAAATATTATAACAACTTAAGTTTTACTTATCCTATGCGGGAAATAAAAAATAAAAGCAGACTGCTAAAAACATGCAAGAAATAATGAATCAATATTTAAACAACTTTTTTTTTTTTTTGAAATATTTAAACAATTTTACTTTAGAACATCTCAATTAGACTGACAATATATAACAAAAATTTTAATCATATTAAAATTTATATCTTAATAAAAATTGTTATAACATTTATCTCGTACTCTCAAAATTTTCTTGTTCTAAAAAAAAAATTCACATTAGAACAACTGATGTGATCATCCGATTGCCTAGGCGATTGATTTTCATTTCCTCCTATTATCAAATTCAAGAACCTTGGTTAGTAACCCACTGTCTTGAGAGAATTCAAAAATATCTAGAAGCATACCACTACTATTAAATCGATTTTATGTAAATCAAATTTTAGGACTTAGGAGCAGGGTACGTAAGAAAGAAGAAAGTCATTGGAAAGACACGGCTAAGGAAAAGGATGAGCCGCGTTATCCTATTTTCAAGTCAAAAAATTCAACCCCATCCTCATTCATATTCTAGAAAATCGTGACCTTTACACCCTTTTCCTATAAATAAACTTAAACCCACTCTTCTTTCTTGTCCCAATCAATTTCTCTACAACGCCGGTCCATAGAAGCAGCAGTTTTATTTTGAGTACCACATTCTCTTCTTCTACCTGCAACCCAAAAAAATGAACGGCACCACCGCCCAACAACCCCCGCCTCTATATCCCACCATCTCCTCTCCTACACCACAAGAAACTGCAGCTGCATCCTCATCTCAGCCGCCCAGTGATGAGAAATGGGGGACTCATGTCATGGGAGCACCTGCCGTTCCCACCTGCCACCCAGACAACAAGAAAGCAGCCTTGTGGGGAGCTGCCGCCACCGACCAGGCCCAATACTTCCACCATCCTTACGTCCAGTATTCCCCCATAGAGAAATCAAATGGTAGCCCCATGGAATCTATTCTCCATGTTTTCAACACCTGGACCAACAAAGCCGAAACCATGGCCAACAACGTCTGGCACAATCGTAAGTAGTACTAGTATTTCAACAGTAATCATCAATCAGCTAGCTAGGCTAGGCAACAAATCTTGATATTTCATCCTACTGACAATTTCTTTTTGGTTGAATTATTATAACACAGTTAAAACTGGATCCTCTGTCCCCGGTGCTGCCTGGGGGAAGATGAACCTCACTGCCAAGGCAATAAAAGGGGGAGGATTCGAGCCCCTGTTTAAGCAAACCTTTGCAACTTTTCCCAATGAACAGCTGAACAAGACATTTGCCTGTTATCTGTCCACTTCCACAGGACCGGTGGCTGGAACTCTGTACCTTTCCAATATTCATATAGCATTCTGCAGCGATCGTCCCCTGTCTTTCACTGCTCCCTCTGGCCAGGTGACTTGGAGCTACTACAAAGTAATGGTGCCTCTGGGCAAGATTGGAATCATCAATCCTGTGATGATGAAGGACAATCCATCGGAGAAGTACATCCAGGTGGTCACCGTGGACGGCCATGATTTCTGGTACATGGGTTTTGTTAATTATGAGAAAGCATCCAAGCACCTCTCCCAAAGTCTATCAAATTTCGTAGTGTCTGGGATAGCAGTGCAGCCACAGCCAGTCGCTGGATAAACACAGCTTTACTTTTTCTTATTTCAGCTATCTATTTGTTGAATAATTTTTTTTTTCTTTTTTAACCAAGGGGAATTGAGAGGGATGGGGAAGTAGTGCCTGTGGAGAACAAGGACTTGTATGTCATAGCACATTCTACGTAAATTAAGGTCACTGGGCCATATAGTGCTAGATGGGTTTGTTGAATAATTTGCTCTTCTGCAAATTAGAATAATGATATTGCTCTCCATTAATTACAACAACATGACTCTTGATTTCGAGTTACCTAAAATTACACTTTTATCATTAGAAGAAACTAAAGTTGGTCCCTCTAATTGTACTCATTTTAATTTCATTTTCCTCTCCTGCCAAAAAAAAAAAAAAAGGGAAAAACCTCATTTCCAACGGGTTCTCTCATTTATCCCAGGCTGTAGAATAAAGACTTAATCCAAACCGTATGCTCTTTGATTTCCATCGCTCAATCTCAACTCCTTCCATCCTCCCTCAGATTCAAGTATTCAAGATACAATAGAAAAGAGATGAATAATTTTAAATCCAAGCATTCAAGGCCAAAATAATCAAATTTCAAAACCGACGGGCAACCATCGATTATATAAAGTGTGTAAGACTGAGATGGGACCTAAGAAGTAAGAATCCGTTGGTTGTGTTTAGCACTGACTCAGCAGTCACCTAAATTGGAGATGCCAATAACAATTGTTCTACAACTGTTTTTACTACCAACATCTGGAGGTAGATAAACCACAGGGAGGCTATTGCTATAGTTCTTAAGCTCAAATGCTTAGCGCTTCTTCTTGCTAGCTTTTGCAGCACTTGATTTTGAGGGAGTAATCAGCAAGTACACAAAGAGAGCAATAAGGGTAATGACAGATATCTGTGAACCATACCTAGCAAGCAACCTCTGCAGAGAAGAAAAGGTTGACATTAGATAGAAGAAGAAGAAAAAAAAGAAACAGAATGCATAAATATTTTATCTGGTTCTCTTAAGCTAATCTAGTAAACCGAGGCCCTCTGAGTGTTTATGACCCAGTTCTTCCAATATCTCATATGAATGTTGTAAAATAGCATACCAAGGATCATTCATACCTTAGCCTATAACATTTTGCCACGAGCAGAGATAGTTCCATGAAACAGCAGAAAAATGTGTCAGCAAACGCATAAAAAGGTTCTGAAACATAGGTTATTCAGGAAAATGGAGAATGACACAATACTTACCCACTCAAACTTGTTCTCAGGAGTTTGTTCTGCCAGGATATCCAAAGGTAATATTGGAGTTGAATAGGCCTCCTATAAACATGACAGTTAGAAAACCTAAGCTTGTTTACAGTTTTCTTCTTAAGGGATAAAAAAAAAACTCTGGCATTGATGCCAAACCTGAAGTGCAGCCTTAGTGGGAATACGGAAAGTTACAACTGCTGGCACACCATAAAACATCCCTTTGCTTTTGGCCTCCAGCTCAAAAGAGTGAGACAGAAGACCACCTCTGCATATCATAATGCTTTTTCAGTTCAATTAGTTCATTGGAAAAATGAGTAAATTGTATTTATCGTTATAGTTGTATGCAGCCTCATTGCTTTTCAAAGTTAATACTTTCTCAAAATCAACCAGTTCAGCACTAAAACTGAAATTTCATGAAAAGGTCAGGCAGTGGGAATTTAACTTGAAAAAGAAAAGGAATGGTTTAATGAAATACTACTCACGCATCAAGCCTTTCCCATGACTTTGAAGTATTGCCATTAACAATATCAAAAGTGTCTTGTGGCCAGCTATCGTCGGAGAGACTCACATCATATACAGTCCTGGAAATTTTATAGGAAACTGGTTCATAATTGACAAACACACCCATAGCATTAAAAAAAAAAAATCATGAGAAGGTTCCCATAATTTCACAAGTTAATCAACTGAAAGATGTATGCTAATCCCGAAACAAGAGCAACTGATACAAATCAAATGAATCACCAAAACAAAAAAAGAGGGAAAACCACGCCTATGAGTTTAAGAAGCTAACTCCTTTCTCCTCTCATGGACTTCAACACATTATATCTCACTGAAATTAATACTGAGATAAGTTTTATTCATCCTTTATTTGTATTAAGTGCAATTTGGAAAATATGATTAGATATAACTCAGGTTCAGGCGCTAAGAAAATTAGAAAAGACAGTACTCTAATAACATCAAAAACCACAAAAAGAAATGAATAAGCCAAAGACAGCCAACGCCCACCAAGCAAAAAAATAATATAAACATGGGTTGATTGTAATTGTCATAGAAATGGGGTTCCTACGAATAATTGCAAAGCCATTCCCTCCCCCATCTTACTTTTTGAAGATCTCTACTGTGCACCCCATAGGAAAAAAAAAAACCCTATGACAATTTCATTATTGAGATTTAATGATAGCAATAGTTTTTGCATAATAGTAAAAGTTAACACACAATCAACAGCAAATCAGGATAGCTTAGCTCCACAGTGTCTAGGTCGAAACACACTAGAAGAATCTAATAGCAACACCAGAAAATGAAAATGAAAATTATTTCACCAAATTTTAGATTTGTTTAGGCAGATTCACTGGGCTCGAATTACGAATCACTCCAGCCCCAGCACAACACAGCAGATGGGCGAGTTGTTGGAGAAAAAAGGAGAGATGGATTCAAAATCAAAAACATATAAAACAGGCAACAAGAAAAATGAAATGGAATTGGAATTAAAAAGGTAGATCTGAAAGAGAACGCACGAAGATCCTTGGTTGTAGATATCAATGGAGACGGAGACGCGCTCGGATCCGGATTTGAGACGGTTGAGGGAGGCCTTCTTGTGAACGACGATGAAGGGAACGTCGGCGGTGGCTAGAGCAGATGATACGAAGAAGAGAGCGATCAACGCGGCGATGAGCGACTTGGTCACAGCCATCACGGTGGAATTTTCAGAATCAGGAAATAGAAATTGTTCAGGGCAACTACTAAATATACTAGCAATAGGGTTTATTTCAGCAGAAACGTCGCCGTTTATGCCATTTACTTCAACTTCCCCCCATTTGTTCTGTTTAGTTTGTCACTTTGTCTCCTTCAATTATTTTACTGCAAAACCCATGCCCCCACCCATATTTCCTGTGCAATACAGTATTCAAATTGAATACTCTTTCTATTATTTTTTTATTAACTTTTTGGGATTGGATAACCAAGTTGAATTTCGATTAATCCAGAATTAAATCGTGTCGGATTTTATTAACGAAAGCATTCCCATCGTCTTTTTCATTCACGAAACTCTAATTCAAAACCCTATTTAAGGGAAACTGAGTTATTTTCAGTCAAATCAACATGCTATCAATGAATACTCTTTTGTTCTTGTTTACTTTTGAATTTTTTTATGTTTTGCAACTCATACTCTCTTGTATTAAATTATAAAATAAAAAATTA